GCTGCGTTCCAGATTACTCACCCTGAAGATTTTAAGAAATGCTGCAAATGTTGCTGTGTTGACAGTAAAACCAGAGTTTTTGCCTTGCGATGTAAGAGTGTCTGCTGTGTTTGATGTCAGATTGTGGGCCACTGCCTGCTTTGTTTCTGATATTATTAGGCACTGATTGGCCAACATGGCTTTACGGTTAGGGTCATATTGCCTCCTGGTGGTTTGGCATGCTCTTGGCAGCGCTTGATAGCGTGTTTTTGAATTTTCATGTATACAGAGATTTTTTTGAAACAGAGGAATAACTCCAGTTATAAAAATACCCGTGTCTGTGTGGACTAGGCCTAAGGCAGTTCTGCAGGCAAAAGGGTCTCCAACCCGGTACTAGTAATGTGTACCTAATAAAGTGGCCGGTGAATATATAACCATGGCTGCAGTGCACCTGCATAAACAACCTGAATGAGAACCAAAACAATGTCCCAATTTTGTCTTGGTTCTCGCTGCTCATTGTTTTAATTCCTCGATTAGTTCATAATTCAGAGTGTGGCCTTCAAAGAGAAAAGACTTTGATGAAATTGGACACACTTGTGCGCATACACACACGCACACACACGCGCACACACACACAGACCTTTCTTTTACACAGACACCATCATCCAACATCAATATGAAACACACATATCATTTCAGGGGCAAGACACCCTCGCTGAAAACAGTTAAAAAGTGTGAAATTTTGCTGCATGCTGTAAAAGGGGAAAAAAGTAGCACAAACTGGTGGACATATATAAAAATAAATTAAAGCTGCAAGCAGCGTTGGGCGGGCCCTCGCACATGTAGCGCGACGGGGTGTGAGGCGGCCGCGTTGCATATCCTGGAGCTCTGCCAGTGTGGCTGTGAATCTGCCATGCGCTTCGGACGCTGCATGAAGGTGTTATACGTCACTTCCTGTGTCCCCTTTGTGGCGCTGCATAGCACTTGGCGCTATGAATATAAATTAATATTGGCGTGTGGATGTCTTCTGAGTGGGACAGTTATCAAGCACGTAAAGTTTAGTTCAGATGTGAGCATGTACACTGAAGTTACAACAACTTGTGTCATGGCGAAGAGTTGATCTTTGACGCCACGCCACGGACACGCCCACTGACAAAAACTCACAGATAGCACAACTTTTCATCGTCAATGCCTTTAGAAGGTACAGCAAAAATTTGAAGTCAATCGGACTCAACGCCTAGGAGGAGTTTGTTAAAGTGTGTAAATCATCCAAAAGTTCAAAATGGCCGACTTCCTGTTGAGTTTAGGGTATGGGTTCTTGAGGCTTTTTTGTGCGTCTTGATATGATACGTGTCCCAATAAAATTTCGTGCATGTAGGTTGAACGTGGACGAGGGGCTAATTTTTTCAAATTTTCTAGGTGGCGCTAGCAATTCATTTTGCCACGCGCATGCGCGAAACCCATAAAATAGCATTCACAGTGTGGTCTGTTGAAATGTAACTAGAGATGGTTACTGAATGAATTAACTACATTCCTAAATACAATCCATAACATTACTGTTAACTGGGGATTCATTTCAGTATGGCTAATGTACTCTTTCACCCTTCCCCAAACAGAGATTAAACTATTAACCAGGACACAGACACATTCTGACTGATCAGTCCACACCATCTGCTGCCTGGGAGAGACCTTGCTGATGCTGTAGCTCTACCTTGTGTCTGGCTGCTGTGCTTTCTCTTGCCAGTTAACTGTCTTCTCTTACCTTGTAAACTGAGTTAGGCTGTTTCACTCAATCATCTTGTTTCCACCTACATATTGAATGTATGATCATTAGCACCTGTTTTGTTTGTTCACCTGATCACCTGATGATATGCCTTACAAATACTTTGTATTTTGTTTTATAACTAATAACATGTCCATTTTTAACTTACTGTATACTGTGTGTATTGACAAATTGTATTTTGATGCTTTGGAGACACTGTTCTTGAAACCTTCATGCCAATAAAGCCCTTTAAATTTAATTAAATTTTTTTGTTTAATATTGGAGGGAAGGGGGGCTGCTCCCATAAAGTATGGATATATTTTTTTCTCATACTTCTATTGTCATAATTACTGACATTCTCATGTTATGTTAAGACACATTCACATACACAACAAGTAAATATCAATGAATGCCAGAAGCTGTTTAGTTTACGTCAAGAAAGAAGTTTTGGTGAACAGTGCAAAATATACAAGGCAAACTTCCGCATTCCACAGTTCCAACAGAAGTCAATGGGAGTGTCGTAACTCTCTTATTTAACGGCCCTGCCTCATACCAGCCAGGGCAATCGTGGGTGTACCTCTCAGGGAGGTGGAGTATGGAGATGGACATCAGTTGTTTGATGAAGATCTCTTCATCGGAGCAGACACAAAGTGCTTTTTTTGACAGTGTGAGAGTATAGGCTGTAGTGTGCCTAAAAATATTACCACTAATGCATTTTTTTTACTCTCCGTTGTAGAACTGTGAGAAGCTTCTATGAGGCAGTTCTTAAGAAGATGTTCTCTCCTTTCCCCTCGACCATCCACTCCTGAGGGACCTGAAAGTGCTGGACCCTGCAGCTTAACATAACTCCAGGGACAGGTAGATAATAGAAACAGTTTCCGATAGGCTTTATGCCCAGTTCCCCATTGATAACCAAACAAATAATTGGCACAGTATACCTGACACTTCTTTAGATCTGCAATGTTCAGTCAAACACTTGTTTTGCTTTACAGTGGAAAGGCTAGGGGCCCTGTTCCCTCAGTTGAGGCTGAAAGAGGATAAGATGAGAGAGGAATTCAGACTATCAGGTGACTGATAGTAAGCAACTCCCCCAAGAAGACAGAATAGACAGATTCTGGGGCCTTGTAGGAAAGGACATAAGGTTCAGTGAGCTGCCAAAACTTATGAAGGCTTTACTATGCATTCCCCATAGCAATGCAAGTTCAGAAAAGGTGTTTAGCATGGTACGAGAGATTGTTACGGAGAATAGGATGACGTTAGATTGCAGTAGGAGTTTACCTGAGTGTCCAGCATGTTGTGTGAAGCTGTCTCTTCCTGTTTCCTTTTTTTCGGGAGGATTGTGCCGATATGCGGCTCGCTGCGCAGAATGAAAGGTAACATTGCGGCATCTGTGTTGATCTACCTGTGTTGATCTGAGACGG